GGGGCGGGCCTTCGAGCCTGCCTTGGCTTCGGCGCCAAGGTGCGGTGCTACGTCACCCTTGAGTCCTGCCCATCCGGAGGCGTTGCAGCCCAATGCTTGGCGGCCGGCGGTGGGCCAGCCACCGCTGCCGCCGGGTGGGGCTGTGGCGTCGCGGCTGGCGGATTTGCCGTTGCGCAACTACGGGTCATCCTCTACAGACCGCGGGGCCAGCGGTGCTTTCGAAGTCAAGCGTAAACCCTGCTCACATGCAAACCTGGCGCTGCCAAACGCCTGCCAACCTCCTCCCACAGCACCGGTTATCAGCACTGCCGCGCGCCTCCGCCCTCCACCCCACTTGCCTGTTAACCCATGTTGACGCCTTATCCCTCAGTCAGTTAGTTGTTTCCTCTTTACCCCACTTGCCTGGTAACCGCGCCCCCCTAACGTTGCCATCCAACATACACAGCACCAGTTGCGCCCTGCGGAAATTACAAAGCCATTCCGCACCATCAACGGGCCCGGAAGGACTCGATGACGTGGCGCAGCAGTGCCTCCTTATCCGCATTGAACTGATCGCTCCGGGAGCTGTGTGTCGGGGGGTGGGGGGCAGGGAGGTGGTGGTTGAGGCCAGGCGGTGGAAAGCGGGTGCAAGGCATGCTTGGGGGCGTTGGTTGGATGCGTGCGAGGCAAGCAGTGAGCAGCAAAAGGTACCGTTACAGGAGTGACAAGGAGAGACGCGATCTGGGTCATAGCATGATGGGCGTTCAGTAGCTGTCTCCTGGCATGTTCATCACGAGTGCATGCATGCCAGCAGACTTCAGACAAAACGATGGGACCGGCAAACAACGCGCCGGCAGCTACTGAGCAATGAAACCTCACGGCACGGAGGCATGGATGGAAGCACAGCCATAGACAGTCAATAGTAAGTCAAGTGATGGCCCCCACCTTGCATTCAGGCAGTACACGGTTCCTCGTCGTACAGCCACCACTGCGAAGTTCCGTCGCCGTATCTGGTGAGTGGTGACAACACAAGGTGTGGGGGCAGCAAGGTCTGGCTTGGAGTACGGCTTGGAAGGTTGGGAGGTTTAGGCACAGAACCCAAATCGGATACAGCTCTCGATCTAAGCCTAGACATGCCAACGCCCACCTAACGGCCCACGCCCACCTGCGACGCGCTTTTCGCCTTACCAGCTGCTTTACGGGGGCGTGGAGCCAGTCATCCCGCCGGCGGTGCGTGAGCGGCTGGCGAGGCCAGTTGACTTCGACGACGTGGAGGCGGCGGCAGCATCCATCATCAGCAGAGCAGGGTGGGTGAGGCAAGCATATCCGGCGGCGGCAGGCAACCTGCTGATTGCGCAGCATCCGCACTGGCCGTTACCTGGCCAAGCCTACGTTCTTCTCACCGGGCGATTACGTGTATGTCCGGCGGGGCAACGTCGCTCACACCCTGCAGTTCCGCCAGTACGACAACATCCTGCGGGTGGAGTCGGTGGGGCCTATGGGTGTGGCGGTGCTGATGGGCCGTGATGGCTTGCGGGTGCGGAAGCGGGTGGAACAGCTACCGCCGTGCCATATGAAGGTGGACCCTGCGATCAGGCCTGAGCTGTTCCGCCCTGCGCGGGACCTGCAGTGCGAGGTCTGCAGCTCGCCGCGCGGCGAGAGCAAAATGCTGCTGTGCGACGGCTGCAACACGGGCTGGCACTGGGATTGCCTGGGCCTGCGGGGAAAGCCGAGAGGGCAGTGGGTGTGTCCGCGCTGCCGGGAGTTGGATCAGGGGGGCCGAGACGCCACCGTTGCGCTGGAGACGCAGGGGCCGCTGCCGACCCCGACCGTGGGGAAGGCGGCGGCACCGGTGTTGCCCGCGCAGGTGACGGGAGGGACGACGGGCGGAGCAGGCAGGGGGAGGCGCCGGCGCGGGCGGCCGCCATGACTGGCGGCGGCGGCGCCGGGGGTCCCAGCCAAGCGCCGCGCCGCCTGCTGGAGCGGCGGCGGGTGATATGGCGGTTCCCCCAACGGCGGAGGCGGGATAGGCGGTGTCCGCCGGCCGAGGGGCTCGCCGCCGAGGGCGGCCGCCGCGCGATATGGCGGTTCCCCCAACGGCGGAGGCGGGATAGGCGGTGTCCGCCGGCCGAGGGGCTCGCCGCCGAGGGCGGCCGCCGCGCGCTGCGGCGGCTGCGTCAGCGGCGGTGGCCCTGGTGTCGGCGGTTGTGGGCGTCGCCGTAGCGCCAGCGGGGGCGGAAGCCGCTGCCGGCGCATCTGCGGGGCTGCAGATGGCGGAGGGCGTGCCTGTCCAAGTCCCGCGCATGGGCCTGGCGCTGGAGGGAGTCGGATTTCGGGGTCGTGTAGCTGTGGGGGAAGAGGTCGGCAGGTTGTTGTTCCCCCGGGCAGAGACGCGGCGCTGCGATGAGGAGGCTGCAGCCCTGGCGGGGAGACGGGTGCGTCAGGAAGGGGAGCAGGTGGTGTATGGGGTGGTGCAGTACCTGGGTGCGGTCATGAGGCCCTTGTACTTTCTAGTGGCATGGGAGGATGGAGGCCTGGAGCAGACCACTTTGGCATGCGTGCGGGAGTGGCTCTCTCAGTGAGTAGGGGGCCGGGAAGCAGCGGGGTTTGGCCTCCAGGTGTGACTCGGCCTGCGGGCCCCAGGCTCACGCCCCTTGTGGGGCCGCTGGGGGCGCTGTGGCGCTGGGACTGTATCTGGGGGGGCAGGGCCCCGTGAGCTTGTGCTGAGGCCCAGGGGTGTCGTGTGTGGAAGACGGCCGCCGGTGTGCGCGGCGGGTCGGGGCAGTTGAGGGAAGAGGAAGCGAGGCATTGTTTAGTAGGTCGTGGGTTGTTGAAGTGGTACCAGGAGGTGAAGGAGGAGAGCAGACGGAGGTGTGAGCGGGTGCCGCTGAGGGTGTATTCCTGACAGGCGAGATTGGCGGGTCCTGGGCGTTGGAAGAACGGTGCATGTGGTTCGGACGGACGGCCCGAGAGACGGACGGATGGCGCCCTGGACGAACGGGCGTTCAACTATTGCGTGTGCCTGCCATGCCTTATTATGTGCTGTGGTTATGCAGCCTGCTGCGTGCACTTGTGCTCTTGTCTTGCCTGTGTCCTTGCCGGTGTGGCTGGGGTCCTCGCGGTACAACCAACCCCCTAGGCCTAGGCTTTTCCTTCGCGGCACCTGCCTCTCCATGACTCTCCCCGTGCGGCGCCCCCGCGGCTCCCCTGCCTCTCCCCGTGCTCAGCTTGCCTTCCAATGCCCTTTCCCGGGCGGCACCTGCCTCCCACTGCCCTTCCCCCGTGCGGTGCCCCGAGTGAGGCCTCTCTACCCTTCCCAGTGAAGTTTTTGCATCCAAGTTCCCTCACTCCTGCACGCATATGCGCCAGTTTATGAGCACGGCGGGTCGCTGGTCTCATGGCTTCGGGTAATTGACATGGACATGGGGTGTCTGCGTGTGCGCATGGACGTTTGTACATGGGATCCATGCGCATACATCAGCGCTGTAGTTGGGCACGGTTAGTGCGCGTACAAGCATGGGCGCCTGTACTTGGGCATGGCGGGTATGCATGCATGTATCGCATGGGCCGGGTGGGCATGCATTCTCGTATCGGCATTGATGCATGGTTGGGCGGAGGTGGTTGGGAGCAGCAGTAATGCTCGCGCTCATGGGTGCCGGTTCATGGCAGGACGAGAGGATGTCTGCACGCTTGAGCACCGACAGCTTGAAAGGGTGCATGCGCGTGTGGGCGCCGATAACTGACAAGGCAGGTTGGGCCATCGCTCGGCTTTGCCGCATAGGTAGATGTCTATGTAGTACGTATTCACGCAGGATTTGTTGCGAAGTAAGATGCTGCCACGGTTGTTCTACTTGCGCTTCAGGAGTAGCGGAGCCCGAGCGTGTTGCGTGCGTATATGCCACATCCCGTCGTTAAGCATTGAACGGGTCTTTACCTTTGCTGTGTACGTAGATCCGTTGCTTCCGTGCCTCCTCCTGTTCCTCGAGTTGCCCGTGCCTGGCTGTGTAGGATGGGGGTGTATCGTGCACGCATTGGTGTCGGTACTTGAGCAGGGCGGGGATGCATGTGTACATCGATATAATTGTGCGTAGTAAACTAGGCGGCTCCCGTCTCCGCTGACCACCCGGGCTTAGTAGTGGTGTGGGATACGGCAACTGACCCTCGCTACTCCCATGTCTGTCTTCTTGCCCCTCGCCCCTTATTGCTTTCCCAAATACTCCGCTCATGTGTACAAGCATTAACAGCCACACATGCATGCATACCCGCCCTGCCCAAGTACCGTATGTAAGCGTGCATGCGTAACCGCATTCCCGTTACGCACCGTCCAGGGCCTCACGGGGAAGGTCAGCCTGCGGACACTGTGGGAGTCGCCATTTGTCCTGTTTTCCCAGCCCCCGCTCGCGCCTCCCCAACCGGCACAGCCCACCCTCAGCAGCAGCCTCTTTCGTGCCTCCCAACAGGCACAGCCCCACCCTCGGTAGCAGCTCCCGTGCAGCGACTAGATGCCCATGTTAGAGGGTTCGACAAAACGTTTCTGGTTAAACGGCGTTTTGTCTATCCTTTAGACATGGGCATCTAGTCGCTGAAGGTCCGCGGCGCTAGCCCTATACCTAATGGCAGTTCAACCGATACGCGGTGAAAGGGTTGCTAAGCTGTGATGGTGCTGAAAGGTGGTATTTCAGTAAAGGATGAAATATGGTCGAGTCTTGGGGTAGCTAAAGGGTGCCTACATGCATAAAATAAAGTAGGGTACTAGCTCGCGAGCTGCTGTGTAAGCAGCGTAAAGTCCAGCTGTAAGTCTTCTATTATAATCTGTTTAAGGGCAAATGTCAGCGTGCGTACAGCTGAGTTTTACGGCTGAAATTTGCGCAAAATTCAGCTGATCCCGCGGTCATGAGGGGTCTCACGCTTTCCATCCAGCCAGCACGCTCTATGCGGTCTATGGGGCCCTGTACGACGGGGGTACGAGCACTCATGCGCACCTGGGCAGGCCATCCGGGGGGTGACAGGCGGCTTGCGGAATATGGGTTAACCAGTGAACCAATTGTCCTCAGCATGCAAAGGGGCGTCGTCGACGTGCTTACCTCCACGCATCTTGTACCCAAGCAAACCTAAACGCCGTGTTTGTAACTCGCCAACAGTTGTGAGATAAACAATCTGCGGTGTTCTCCTATGAAACCTAACTTTTGCTTCTAATACCGGTAAGGCGCCAAGGCTTGCCTAGCAACCAGTTATGGGCAAAGACACCAAAAGCGATAGAAGGCCAAATGCACCGTCAAGCAGCGCACGGGCTGCGGTTGTGCTTGCGAGCAAGGCTGGCGGCTTTGTCCTCGGGGGGTGAGTACCAAGAGCCTATGCCTGGACTCCAATTTTGTCCTAAGGATATCTTTGGCATAGAAATTGGCTTACATAAGAGGCGCAGCGCTAGGGCAGGGGCGGTGTTCCCTCTTATTCGCCAAAGGAAACACGGTCATCTTTCGTTAACTTCTCCGGGGGTGCCGCCTACTCTCCCATGACCTTGCAGACTCGCGGGCGCTACCGCAAGTAGCCCGGGCTTTGGGTTTGGCGATCCCACGGCTTGTTTCCTCACTAATTCAGGACCAACCAGCGCGAGCAGTAGTGCTGCTGGCTCCCGGTATGCCAGCGGGGATGTTACCCTCCCGCTGCAGGTCGATGGCGAGATTGCGCAATGCTTTCGGCACCTATCCAAAAAGGATTCCACCACGAAGATAAAGGCCCTACAGGTACGAGTTTCCAAGAGATCCCCACGGCTTTGCTGTTTCCAGACCACTAACCATTGCCTTCTCCGATGTCCCTCGATGTGCGTGGTACACGTACTGATACCTGCATGGATGTTTCCCTCAGAACCTCCGCGCGCTGCTGCCCAGCCGCTCCACCACCGACCTGCTCGCCGCGCTGTCACCCTGGGTCTATGTGTACAGCCGCCTCATCCTGGATTCAAGCCGTGTCGTACGGCAAGACACCGCCGCAACCCTGGCGACCGTGCTACAGCTGTTGGGCAAGGCGGTTGCGCCACAGCTTAAGAGCCTCATGGGGCCCTGGTGGCTCGCCATGCACGACACCTACCCTGATGCCGCAGATGCCAGTCGCGCCGCCTTTGCCGCGATGTTTCCTGAGCCACGGCGGCAGTTGGATGTTGTACTGTATTGCCGTAATGAGCTCGTGTTGTACTTAATGGATCAGCTGGCGGCGACGCCGCAGCAGCTGGGAGACCCCAGGTGATTGGGTATGTACCTGCAAGATGCGTGTTAAACGCTGTTGGGAAATGTAGGACTAGACGCAGAGAGCGTTATTGAAAGACATGTGGAGCCATGTCGTAGGGAAGCTGCCTTTCACTAGTGGCGCCATGTTTCTGTCTTTCGTTTTCTACTCTGCGCTGCTGCTCATCTGCTGCCCGCCGCTGCTCATCTGTTGTCCGCAGAAAGGACAGCGCCGAGGAGCTGGAGGACCGGCACGAGCGGGTGCAGGCGGGCTGCATGGCGGCGCTGGCGGCGCTGGTGGACAGGCTGGCCACGCCAGCAGCGGGGGGGCGCCAACCAGCAGCAGCGGAGAGCGCAGGAGCAGCGGTGGCCTCTGCAGGAACCAGTGCCGCTCCGGCCGCCGCTGGAAGCGCCTCAGCGACAGAACGAGCGGCTGTCGCTGCAGGAAGGGAGGAGCTGCTCGCCTCCATTAGCGACGTGATATGTCGTCCAGGATTTTGGAAGGACACGGCGGGGGCTAAGAGCACCGCAATACGGCGAGCATCGTACGGCCTGGCAGGGTGTGTGGCGCTGCGGGCCCCTGAACTGCTGTCGGGCTGCTTGGCGGAGAGCGCCGTATGCGTGCTGGGCGCCCTGGGGGAGAAGGAGGCGGCTAACCACGGAGCCATGTGGGAGGCAGTGCTGGCGTACGGCAAGGTACGTCGCACGTCTTTTGGCGTTGGGTTAGGGCAGTTTATGCATGTATGACGCGGTGAAGCAGCGGCAGTGGTTTAGGCCTGGGGCACGGGACGACGGGAGGGACTGCCAAACATCAGTTTGGTCCGACAAGGCCATGCCGCAGCTGCCTTGCCTTTGGGACCCTTTTACATAAGGTGCGCTAGCAGCATTGCTGGACCATTCGCTACCCTTCACTCGACTTATTCGTTAGCATTGCTCTATCGTATCTATGTTCTGCCGCACACGACCTCGTACAGTTCTGCCCTGCGGGTTGGCGCTACGTGAGTCTGCGCAAGATGCTGCTGCCGCGGCTCTACTCACTGCTGCGCCACGGCTGCCACGGCTCCGCACCCTCCTCGCTGCGCGCGCTGTTGCCGTTGCTGGCAGTGCTGCCTGGGGAGGTGCTGGGCCCGGGGCCGGAGGTGCTGGCGGCGCTGCTGGGAAGCGTGTGGGCGGGCCTGCGGCACCCGGCGTGTAGCGGCAGGTGAGGGTTTGCGAGGGACGGATTCGGAGTGGGGTATGAGGAAGGATATGTACCATGGGATGAGGTGGTGTGAAGAGGTGCGGGACAACTGGGTAGCAAGGGGCCCCATATGTATTATGCATACTCTTGTAAAAGCGTCTGGTGCGTCTAAGGCCCAGAAATCCCCTCGATGCGTCTGCGCTACCCGTGGTGTTGTAGTTTATATGCCCATCCCCGCAAACCCGGCTGCACGTCTGCACCTGCCTACCTGCGCCCGCATCCTGTGACCCCACTGCTCCCCACAGGCCCGCCAAGTCCGCCAGTGTGGCAGCCTACCGGGAGTGCCTAGTGTGGGGCCTCCTGAACAGTGCCCGCCTGGTGCAGCTGCCAGCAGCAGCCACCGGTAGCTCCCCTCCTGCGGTCTCTGCTAGCGGCTCACCCCTCGTTACCAGCGCTGGTGCCGCTGCTGCTGCTGGCGACTACTGCCGGACTCTGGTGCGGAGCAGCCTAGTGCAGCAGGTTCTACCGGCGGTGCTGCGACCTACGGGCCAGTCACTCAGAGAGCTTGCTGCGGAATTGGTGGCGGAGACCCTGCAGGCGCTGGTGGGGGCGGTAGAGAAGAGCGCGTCTACCCCAGGACACGAGGACGCCAGAACATCCACCAGCAGCGGCAGCACTTGCAGCGACCTGGCTCTGGAGTGCACGCTAGAAGAGTTAACACAGCACCTTTCGGAGGCGCTGGCAGCAGCGGTTTCCGCCGCTACAGCTGCTGGCTCACCCTCCACCGGGCCAACGGCAGCAGCGTCAGAGCTGGAAAGCACATGTGAGGGCGCGACAGCGTTGCTGGCTCGTCTCCGCCGAATCCCAGGTTTAGGTTCAGGTTCGGGTCCTGGTCTGGCCTCGCAGCTTGCGAAGGCGGTTGCCAAGGGCCTTACGACCGCCGGCCAAGCTGGCTTGCCACCAGCAGCGTCGCAGCTGCTGGCGACACTGCTGCGGGTGTACGGCGGAAGCTTGACGGCGGCGCTGCTGGCTGCGCCGACTGCTGTGTCCACAGAAGGCGCTGCGGTTATGGATATCGCGGCTTGCTCCCTGCCCGCATCAGTGGGCGAAGGGGAGGCCAGTACCGGCAGCCTGGCGAGACCCACGGGCCACAGCGTCAGCAGCTTCAACTTGGGTCCCCTTGTCGCGTCGTTCGTTGCCAGCCCTGTAGCGGTACGTACAGCATGGCTTCGATGGGATTCCACAGTTCCTGTGTGCTCACCACCTAAGAACCTGCTGTTTGCCCATACCACCCCCCTTTGACGCAATGCAGTGCAGCAACATGTCTCTGGCACTCCCCCCTTCGTCGCCTCTTCCACCCTTAATATCTCCCGTACCCCTGCCTAACTCCCCACAGGACCGTTCCGCCATTGCCTCCGCTGACCTGTTGGTAGCTTTCTGCCACGGCCACACTGCTTCGCCTCAGCTCTGGGACCAAGTGATAGCAGCGGTGATCGGCTCAAGGAGCAGGGCAGCAGCGGCAGAAGGCGGCAGTGACCCCGCTGCCGCAGCTTCCGCAGCTCAGCACGTGCTGTTGTTGCTGGAGCGCTGTGTGGCCAACAGCGGGCTGGAGGGACAGGCTCCCAAGGATACTGAAGGAGCAGCGCAGCAGCAGCCCCAAGGTGGGTTCGCTTGGAAGTCGCCCTCGCTAGACGCCTTCGCGGTGGACATGGCTCGTTGCCTGCCGCATCAATACGAGGCTGCAGCGGCCGCACCATTTCTATCCTTTGTCTTGGGCTCGAACACCGCGGGCCTTGTGCTCCTGGAGCCTTCTGCCGCCGCCATGGTCGTCGAATGCCTGGCTAGTCACATGACTGCGGCCGCAAAGGTCGTTTCAGAGCCGGTCACTGCAGCAGCTGTACACGCGGCCGAGCAAGCCGTGGCTGCACTCTGCGTTCCGCTGGGCAACGGCGGGTGCGGTTTGTGGCGGGTTCTTCCTGAGGGGGCATGTGGGGCGCTGGTGGCGCTGGCGCAGCTGAGCTGGCGGGCGGCTGGGGGGGGCCCAGCGAGAGTTGGGGGGGGCGGCAGGCGATACGTGGCGGAGGAGGAGAATAGTGATGATGCGGACATGGCGGACATCGGCGGCGAAGGAACAGAGCTTCATGATTTTGAAAGCGATGAAGACGATGATGCGGTAGCGGAGACAGAGGATTCCGCCATTATGGTCGCAGCCCGCGCCGCAGCAGAGTGCTGGTCCGCTGGTAAGCCCCTCGCCGCCGCGATGGCGGCTCTTTCAGTGGACCGCGCTGTCGCGCTTGTGCGGCGTTTAGCAGGCCTGTTGGCCACTGCCGTACCTCCAGCCACTGCGGGCTCCAGGAGCGGAGATGGCCAAGCGGACAGCACCGCAGTCAGGGACAAGGTTGCCGCCCTCAATCCCCGTGCATGGGCGGCCCACGCCGCCTGTCTGCTGCGGGCTCTGCCCGGTGGCCCCGCGCATCGCCATGCCGCCCTGGACCTGCTGCTTGCCGCCCGGCCGGAGTGGCGCAGCTGGCGCACCTGGGCGGGGGCGGCAGCGGCGGCGGCCCAGCTGTCTGGGAGCAGCAGCAGCAGTGACAGCCGCGCCCTCCTCCGCCCTGACCCGTCCTTGGAGTACCTGGCCAGGCTGGTGGCGGCGGAGGGGGCTGCGGAGGTGTTGATGCTGGGGCCGGCTGGGGCTGCGGCGGCGTCGGAGGGCACGAGAGGCGCATCAGAGTGCGGGGAGGGTGGGTGTGACGGACATGGTTGGGTGATATTGGAGCTGCTGTGTGGTCACCATGCGGCGGAGCGAGTAACAGCAGTAGCAGTGGCACCAATGCCAGCGGAAGACAAGGAAGACGAGGAGGAGAAGGCGGTTCCCGAGGGTAGCAAAGCAGGCGAGGATGTGGCAGTAAGCTTTGCTATCAGCGGTTCCTGGCGGCGAGCGGTGGGGCGAGCTGCGGAGGCTTTGCTGCGGCACGTGGTGCACTGCATCAGCGCTGTGGGGGATGACAGCGAGGCATCAGGCAGGGCGCTGTGGGACCTGGTGGACCAGCTGGCCCAGGGCTGCAGGTGGGTGGGGGCTGAGTCATGGGCTTGCTGGATACGGACTGGGAGCTGGAACCGGGCGGGGATAGCCGAGACTGCATTGCTGAGCTGCAGTGCCTTCAGGGGCTGTGCTTCTCTGGTGCTGGTTGCGTCCGGTCCCATCTCCTGGCCTCTGTCGACCTGACCCACAGGGGCCCTGCTTCGGACTCCCAGGCGGTGCCATCCGCAGCAGGTCGTTTCGAGGAGAACTCGAAAGCAGACCTTCCGAACCCTCAGGTGGGTCAGCGCTGGGAGGGACCCCCGGGCGAGTGGCTGTCATTTCCCGTAGCTAGCTAATACCATTCCAGCTAGAAAGCCGCCCCTCGGTTGCCTCCCCAGCTGGCGGAGTGCTGAGCGCGACAGCTCAATCCATCAGCTCCTTAACATCCCCGTCCCTACGCTCTGCAGGCCGCCTTCCTGGACTCCCTGTGCCACGTGGCTTCAGTCATGCAGCGCGCAGCTGCCGATGCCGAGGCAGCAGCCTGCGGGGGCGCTGATCTCCTAGCCTCCCCGTTGTTAGCCCAACAGCAACACCTATGTCACACATGGCTAAGCACTTGCCGCCCCGATGCATGCACAAGCCCTGACTGCTTGCCGCCTCAGGCGCTGCTGCGATTGTTGCCGCTGGTGGCGGGTCCGATTCGCCGCGCCGCCGTTGCTGCCGCCTCTCGGGGTAGCGGCTGTGGGGCCGCCATCAGCGCTGGGGCAGTACCAGGCACAGGGTCAGAGGCTGAGGCGGTTGTTGCTGCGGCGGGGCTTCCGGGGCTGTCATGCGCCTGGGTGCGGCACTGCCTGGCGGGGGACGCTGTGCTGGTCAACCCATCATCTTCGGCAGTGACAGCGCTGGAGATGGCGGCGGCCTGCTTCCCGCTGCCGGAGGCGTACGGTGGTGGCGGCGGTGATGCGGCGGGGGCGGAGGCGGCAAAGGCAGCTGCCCTGGCGCTGGCGAGGTCGGGTGGTGGGGCGCTGGCGGAGTCTGAGAGGCCGCTGCTGCTGCAGCTTGTACGGCAGCAGGTGGGCGTCAGTTGACACCTACCGATAATGCCGAGGTTTCAGGGGAGGCACGCCTGCCGAATGGGTCGCTATAATACCGGTACAGCTTGTAGACTGTTGGTGTGAGATTCTCCACTGAACTTCTGCCTGTTCTCGACTTCCGCTCGCAGCTGACAGGCCACGCGGGAATGGCGGCGGCGCGGCGGCTGCAGGCTGGTTCAGCCGGCGAGGGGGCTGCCACCTCTTCGAAGCCGAAAGCAGCAGCAGCTGATTCCGCTGAGGAGGAAGCGGCTCACACGTGCGTCATCCGGCTGGCGCACGCAGCAGTGGTGTACCAGTGGCAGGCGCTGGAGGAGCTCGAGTGGACAGCACTGCTGACGTTTGTGGAGGTAAGTTGTGCAAGGGGGCCGCCTTTCGTGGGAGCGCACCTGGGGGTCGTGTATGAAGTAATGCAAGGCAAGGGGGCCGCATGTAGTCATCTTTTCACGAGTAAACTGTTGTTGAGTACAAGCCTCCTGTACAGTTCCGTGTATTGGTAATGGAACTGCGCGGGGTCACCTGCTGGTAGCTGCGCGTGTCCAAAATGCGCCAACCCGCCGCGGACCTGTTGCTCTTACCTGCTCCCGCCGTCCAACCTCTACCCTACAGGAACATCTGGCAGCCGCAGTGGCAACACTCTCCGGCTGCCTGGCGCAGCTGGCAGCCGTCGCACGCGCCGCCGCAGATGCGCTGCTGCAGCAGTCCCCCGGCAGCACCCCCGCAGGCCCCATGGCGCTACAGCTGCTGCGGAAGCTGTGTCAGCGGGGGGTACTGGGCCAGGTGGCTCAGGGGCGGCAACTCGTGGGGGGCACGCGGGCGGCGCTGGCGGGGTGCGGGCTGGGGCGGGCGGCGGGGGCGGCAGCACAGCTGGCGGCGGTGCTTTTGGAGCTGCAGGTGTTGGGGTGGGGGTGGGGGGTAACCCAATAAAGCCGCGGCCGTGATCATAGGAAAACAACTTCAGAAAACTAGAAGATGATGGCGTCCAACGGGAAATGTCTTAATGGTGGAAAAGTCGTCGAGTGTAAAGGCACTGTGCGTATCGAAGATAGTATCAGGAGTAGGGATAGCCTGTAGTTCGTAAGGGTAGTTGATAGCAACATTAGTAGGTAACAACGTAGTAGCAGCGAGCGAGTCATGTAAGTGTAGCTGGCTAGTAAAGACGGGGAAGTGGCTATAGGTAGTAGGTGGCTGATGACTGATGATGGATAAAACAGGGGGGTTGCGGACTCAGCGCAGTGCATGCTACAAGGATATAACAAGTGCTAGTCATGTGCTCGTTGCCGTAGACTGACCCGTAGGCGTCGCCTTCTGCATCCAAGTCTTCAGCTGCATTGTTGCTTAGTTAGTTGGTGGCTTTGCACTGTAGCCTAACGTTTATATGCTTCGTGGTCTGCGTGCACCGTAGGACGACGTGGTGGCCGCCAGTCGCTGCGGCGACACTTCCGGTGCGGCGGCAGCGGCCCGGAAGTATGGCAGCTGCCTTTCAGCCTGCTGCAGCCTTGTGCTACAGTTGACGATGGCACTGGGTGGCGTGGAGTGCTACGGTGCCGCCTTCGGAGCCGACGCTTCCGCAGCGGTGACGGATTGGCTTGAGGAGGAGGGGGCCTTTTGGGCGGCAGTGACCTCATGCGCGGGGCACGTTGTGGGTCCTGGGCGGGAGCAGCTAGGACTACAGGCAGCGGCAACGGCGCTGGCGGCGCAGGCGCCTGCGCTGGACGCTGTGGGGCTGGACGCGGTTGGTGCGCTGCTGGCGGTGGCACTGACCCCTGAGTCCGGCAGCTGCGTGCTGCAGTCGGTGGCCTACCGGCTGCTGCTACTAGAGCCCTCGATGCTGAACCAGGTGACTCTGGCGGGCGCCGTTGGGCTGACTGAAGCCGCAACTGGCAGCGGCGGCGTCGGTGGCGAGGAGGTGGACCTGCCTGAGTACGTCGGCGATGACGTGGCCTACCTTGTCGCGGGCGGTGTACGGCCGGAGATGGCTACTTGGTTGTTGCCACCAGAGGCCAGCAGCAGTGATAGTGGCAACGGAGGCAGCAACATCCATGTCGGCCGTGCCCGCGTGCACCTGACGGCCTGGGCGCTGCTGCTGGCACATGCCTTAGAACTGGAGCGAGGCACTCGAGCGCTGGCCGTGTTGCGGCAGCTGCTACGGGAGGCGGGGCACCTGGTACACAGCCTGCTGGGGCGGCTGCTGCTGCCGGAGCTGGGGCTGCAGAAGCGGCAGCGGCAACAGCAGCGGCTGGCGGCGGGCGCTACAGGGGGTGGGGTGGGCGGGGCTGCATCCTGGGCGCCTGGGTCTGGAGCGGTGGTGCCTGCAGGTGCGGACGGCTGGCGGCTGGCGGAAACCCTGTGGGAGGTAGGGTCACCGCTGGCACACCAACATGCCGTGCGGGCCACATGCCGGGCGCTGTATCGGGCCGTGCTGCGGGCGCTGCCGGCGACCGCGCGCGGATGGTTCAGCGACCTGCGGGACCGGGGGCTGGCGGCGGCGGTGGAGGGGTACACGGCGGCGGCGGAGGGGCCGGCGCTGCTGGCGGCGGAGTTGGAGTCGGTGCAGGTGAGGACTGCGGAGGAGCATGTTTAGGTTCCCGTAGCAATACTACGAATTGCAAAGGGATTCCATACCTAGACCTGTCCGTCCGTAACCATTAAAGTCGCCTCGCAATTGGGGCAAATCATTGTCGCGCGGCATACGGTATACAGAGCAGCGGTAACGGACACTTGAAAACCAGAAACAGCGCCAAAGACAGAGACTCCCATACCGTAAAGATAGGGCCAGAGCACACACAGGCGTATTACTGCAATTCATTGTAACAGAGGGCAGTGAATTGTAACATAACGCCGATTACGCACACAACAGGAGCCTTGCAACAAGCGAAATGGTGTGAAGGCCCGCGGGGCCATACGCGGGGCCATACTACGCCACTAAGCCTCGATAGCGCAGGCACAAAATCACCTGATAAAAGCAACGACAGAAGAAACTTTTCAATGAGGACGATTAACGAGCAACAATTGGCCAGCATGGCCGTTACTCATAAGCGAACAAACGTCTTAGCACAAGTGAACCCGATAAGAACGGGATATTGGGGAGCGGAGTTACAGCGGCGCACTGCAGAAGGGAGCTGGCGTCGGTCGCGTCGGTGGCGTCGGTGGTGTCAGTGGCGTCGGTGGTGTCGGTGGCGTCGGTCACGTTGGTGGAGTTTGTGGAGTCAAGGGATATTTAATGCAAGTGCATCAAAGACGTCTCTTACTAAATACATATAGCAAAACTGCGATTAACTAAAGCATAACGTTGTGCATTATCAGTAATAATTTCTAACTCGGTTTCACCCGCTATTGCTTGTATTAGTAATAAAGTATCATTGTGTGAGCATGGCGGACAGCACGGACACCAGATCAAGTGGCCACAACACGGCAGCGTGAGGCAAACAGAGCGTCCTACAGCCAAACAATCACAGTCGCCGGGACAGCAGCCGGCAATGGAACCCCTAAACAGCACGGCAGCACATGCAGCAGCACATGCACAGGCCGCTGCAGCCCAACAGCAAGCTGCAGACCAGGTAAACATGTTGCCACCAACTGATAGGACTGCACTTTTCCAAAACCAACATGGTGTAGGATCTGACTCATCTGCTGAGTAGGTGGTGTGTGAGAGGGGAGGTGTCACGCCCATGGCTGTAGCATGTGGCTGACGCTGATAGAATCCCAACCACGTGTAAAATGCTTCCGGAAATGTATCCAATGGGCCCATAGCCGTCTCACTAAATGCTTCCACAATTGGACCCATATACGTGACTCAATCCAACCTTGACACGTCTTATGTACGATTACATGCATGGCGCGACGAAGGTGCGGTGCAGCAGTCGAAGGGAGCGAAATCCTACATGCAGCAGGGTGCCCGCTCGGATTTCACCATGGCTGCTACCGCTGGCATAGGCCCCTGGGACACCACACCGCACCAAGGGTGCCAACATGGGCCGGGTATAGCCTTGGGCTATGGGACACTGTAATGGCCATTCATTCAAGAAGGGTGCATGTGATGAGGCCGCAGAGAGGGGGGAGGTGCCGTAACAGCAGAACTTAGCCCTTGGCCCGTTATGTGTCTTAGGCAACATGAGGTGTATTGTGTAGCAAGTACAAAAACACGGGCCCTTGCAGCCATGGTATGGTATGAAGCAAACGTGAGGGCGCATAGTACATGGCAGTCGATGGTGACGATAGGAAAAAAAGAGGGGCGCTTGCGCATGCCTTGCTTGTCAGCTTTGCTAGCCCACGGCATGGGGACCAAGTAACGGCTTGCTGGGGGACTTGCACTCCTGGGAAGGGTACCGTTTCGGGGGCAAGGGGGCCCTTGTGGCTTGCACGGGCTCGAGCACAGCGGTGGGGGGTGTTAAATCGAGGAATCTCACGAGCTGTATGAGGGGGCTTTCCCATTGGGTTCCTCATGATGGCTGTGGTTAGGGAAGGAGCCTCATTTTTCACCCTCCCCGTGCTTCTAGTACACCCGGCACCCCCCCGGCACTCTATAGGGGGGTGTAAAAAGAAAAAATATCAAGAGCTGTATGATGTGGCTTCATAGGTTGCTACGGGGGGTCGGAGGGGGGTGGGGGACACTGGACGGCTATGGTTATTGGTGAGCCGGAGGTGAGGCACCTGGACGGGTAACATGAACGCCAAGGAAGGGTACCGGGTTTGGGTGTACCGTACATACAGGGGTCCTCATCATGGCTGTGGCAGGGGAAGGGGCCTCACTTTCCTTTCACCCTCCCGTGCTTCTTGTATACCCTAGAACGCGTCACGTAATCGTGCTGCCACCTAGCGTTAGGGGGTGGGGGGCTGGCCTGCACGGCCTCTCACGCACAGCGCGGATTGGGCGGGGGAGAGTAAAAATAAGGAAAACTGACGGATTGGGCGGGGGGGGGGATGGGTATGGTGGACGTTGGATGGCTATGGTTATTGGTGAGTCGGAGGATGATTTGGCGCCTCCTGGTCTGGTCTCATGGACGGCCCCACCGCACTTCGAGGTCAATATTCATTGGTGGGCTAGGGGGCCGGGGGAGGGGGAGGGGGGTGGGGGACACTGGATGGCTATGGTTTTTGGTGAGCCGGAGGATGGTGAGGCACCTGCTGGATGGGTGAAATATTTCATTTCCGTTTTCACAATAATTACTACTCTGGGGAGGGTTTGGGGGGGTGCAGGCGGGTAGCGGGGGGGATTTAAGGATATCCCAAATCATAGGAAGTTTTAGTAAGGGCAACACAAAGGGGATATGTGGTGGCTGGTTGCAGTATAATTAGTGAGGGTTAGCGTTGGGGGGAGGGAGGGGTTAAGTTGGGGGGAGGGAGGGGGCCCGTGCGCCCCCTCAGCCTGAGACTACAATTAGGTTAATTTCGCACTGCCACCTACGGTTGGGTCGCCTTGTCATCAGCTATACTTGCTCACCGGCTAGCGGTGGGACTTGCACAACTAGGAGGGGTACCGGTTTGGGGGCATGGGGGTCCTCATGATGGCTGTGGTAAGGGAAGGGCCTCATTTTTCACCGTCCCCGTGCTTCTAGTACAACCGAAAACGCACCAAGTCATCGTGCTGCCACCCACGGTTAGGGGCTAGGGGAGGGGCTGGCCTGCAGTTCATCGACCGTTACTATGTGCCGCACACCTTGCACTGCCTACTCTTGCTTTAGTCCAGTATTGCTAAGAAGTGAACAGGTACCGGTTAGGGATCTGGGTAGCAAATGTTGGGAACGAGGTCAGGGGGCTGAGGCTACAGTTGGTTGTATAACCGCGTTGCACTTGTCGCATCGCCTCTTTTTTTAATAAGCACAATTAGTTTATGTTCTTCATCGTTTTCTTCATGCGTTTTCTGTCACTGCGGCCCGTTCACAACACAGCGGCGTCTCACACAATTGCGGTCCCTCCGTATTCCTCCGTCCAATCTGCAGTTAGTACGGTCTCTCCGTCTTCCTGCATCCTTTCGCGCTGCGGTTTCGCCCTTAACATAGATGATCAGCTTCCGTTCCCAATGCACCCGCGTGTCACGTGCCAGGCGCCCTGGTGTCGTCAAACGTTTATGAGCGCTGCCGTCCAATGACGCTCTTCCTACTAACGGGCAGCGCATTTGCAGCATCTCGCATGGAAGCAACCCCCAGGTGAACACGCTATGGATTGCTTGCAGCCGCCTGTTGGAAGTATAATGTGCCAACTGCTAGAACTCCTTGGTGCACATCGTCCAAAACCAACATGGCGAACAGCCTGGCGCGCTTGCAGAGCTGTGTGGAGGGAAGATGTAGCAGCACACAAGCATGAAGCCTCATTTGGGGCAGGGGCCTCGCCGCAAAAGTGCAATCGCTTTGCAAGCAACCACTTCACAAGCAGTGGTGTCTGTAGCATGTACGTGGATGCTAGCCAGGCCAGTGCCCCAAGCCAGGCGGGCATGAGCAGCCTTGTGTCAGTTGGTCTACCCCTTATAGCGGGCATTGTGAACAGTCAGGAGAGGTCCCACGTGAAAACCACACGTGCTGGGCACGCCCACTGGCATTGAGTTAGACATTGACATGTTCACAAAAGCAACCGTTAAGAGAACATCATTAGAATGTACCGTACCTCCCAGTGATCATCGCGCAAAAATAAATAATTATTTGGAAAAAATGTGTATTAACGCGCAAAAAATAAATAATTGGTCCGGGGCGTGCGCGTTAATAAATTTTAATTCCCCAAAGGACTGCGCTTTAACTAAAATATTGCCCATGGCGTGGCCACCAGTGCGTGCTGTCTCGAAATTCCGGGTTTCGCTCTTTTCCTGGCCCCATCCATACCTACACCTCCTCTCTGATCCGTTTTAAGCCATAGTTGCATAGTAAGCTTTAAGTTGATTGCGCTGCTTTTCCGGTCTTTCTAGTATAAGCTTCAGGCTACTGCAGTACTACTTTAAAGGCTGCGCGAAGTGGAAAATAATTGCGCTGACCCCTGCGCATTACAAAAAATTAATTCCTGCGCTGCGCGTTAAAATAAATAATCCCTAAATTTCCTGCTGCGCGGTGATCAGACACAGGTACGGTAATTAGAAACCTTATGACCAAGTTGTCACATGCTCATATCACTGCAAGTAAGCCATGATAACCATGGCGTGACACGGGCGACACAAATAAACGTCACACAACCCAACCACGTTGGGCACTATGGTCCTGCTAGGTTGCCACGCACACACGGAACACGTAGGACAAGCGCTGTAGGCATGGCAGCGAACAACATATGTAGGCAGCGTTGTCAAAGATAGCGCAAGGCTAGCCTAGCAGCTGACGACATGGGCATGGCGAATGTGACATGGCTCCTCACGCAGCCACGTTAGAAGCGACCTATGAAAGGTGGACTCGTTTCACAGGTATACCCCATCAGCAGAGCTACGGCAGCGAGGCTGGCACAGACACCCGAGCAAGCCGAGAGCAGATAGGACAGCGGTGCAGCACGGCAGAGGCGGCAACACGGCCGCCAGCATGTTGTGATCGCGTGGCGCAGACACGTGAGACACCAGAGTAAGCAGAAGCGTCTAGGCAGAGGGGAGGCAGAAAGACTACCATCCTACGGGCAAGGACCCAGCTGCAAGCCCGACAGCCCGACATACACAAACCCAGGACTCGCGGGCAGTTTCCTTTACAAACCCAGGAGCAGGCAGCTATTGTTCACCAGAATGAGGCTTGTATGCAAGCAGATGCAAGTGAGCCGGCTGCAAACCATGCCATAGGATTGCCACCAGCGGGGGGTTTTGAGCCAAGACACACCTGCAGAGCAGGGGCTTTGTGGGAGGGGAGGTGCAGCAGCAGGCAAGCGGCGCAACATCGCAGACACGAAAGCTAAGCCAAAAGCTGCTAAAAGTGGAAAACACCATGTTGAAGAGAAAGCGCGGCACCCAAGGGCATGGCCACACCCATGGCAACCAACAAACGTGTCAAAGCATGCCAGCTTGCTAGGGCTCCTTAACTATGGCGTATGAGGAGCCACATGCGGTTGATGGTGTCGCCAAAATGCTGCTGCCGGTGATGGGGCAAGACAGGCGGCCGGAGGAATGCGTATTGCGTTTGTGCATGGCGGGCAGCAGGGCCACCATAGCAAACGGCCGTAACACTGTAGTTCGAGGCAAGCGGACATGCAGCTGGCAAGCATACGGCCAAGATCATCAGCAGCAACCCTTTAGCAGGATACAGAAGGGGCTTCGTACGTGAAGCAGGCAGGCAGGCACAGAAGCAGAAACAAGCAGCATTGAAACGCCGGTATGCCATTTTTACAACACCATGCTGAGGGTTTCTGGAAGGTATTCTCGGACCCACCCACCCACGTTTTACTGCCCTACAACCAAAATTACATAGGAGGGCACCATTCCTATTTCATCCTCTGTAAGATAAACTAATGGTATGGCCAGATGCATGTACCTGCGTGAGCCAGAGTCACGAAGTTACACCCGGCGACTGGGTAGCAGCCCGGCTCGCCCCTTTGCGCCCTCTATTTCACTAGCAACACTAGCAACTTGTACACCGCCATCCCCAGCTGGTTCAGCAGCGCTTCCCGCCCACGACGCCCGTGCCCCAATGCGTTAGCTCCTCGTCCCGATGTCCTGCCACTCATTCGGGCCCTGCCCATGGCACATTCCCAGCACTTGCACGTCTGGCTAACCGGGCCGGTGCCTTGACCCAACACCTGATATCATTAGCTCGGAATGCCGTTTCCTGCTTTCCGCTAAACGAGTGCTTTCATTTGCTGGACACATTGTGCCCCACACATGCGAATCGCTGCCGACAATCCATCCTCCTAGTGTCGGCCCACGACTGGCGCTCCTGTACGCCCAATGACTGTTTTCCCCACTGTGGAGTGGCTTTATCTTATCTGTGAGATAGAGTAGGCAGATTTTTGTCGCTCCTGTGGTTCGGAAAGGACACTCCTGTCGCCCATGACTAGCAAGTAATTGATGTTGCATGCATCGTCACTTACGGAGATCGCTTGTATGCTTGAAACACCTCCATTGGACACCTGGGCAAAAGGTTCTGAGCCTTCTGACGGTTCAGGATGGTTCATTCACAGCCTTTATTGCCTACCTCCCAGGAAACCTGTACACAGGTTCCGGCCACACCGTTACTTGGGGACATGTCTGCCCTGTGCTCCCCGTTAATGCTGTCCTCTGCCACCCACACTGCCGCCCACCTCAGTGCTGTCGTAAAAGGCCTTGGCCTCCCCCTGCCAATCCTGCCTTGCCGACAACCCCGCTGGGCTAGCGGTTGAAAGGAAAATTTCATGTTAAGACGCTATAAGGGGCCGTTTACATATGCGTGACCGTTATTAAAATCCCGCGTGCAAAAATTCACCCGAGCACCTCCAGACTCCGCAATTTCAGCTACGTCTAGGACTACGATCACGCTCCCAATCCTTGAAAGATTGGGGCGAAAACGAAATGAAAATTGGTAGTTCTATGCGACAGAAAGTTTGGTTTCTGCCTTTTTGATTTTAGTTTCGCGCATATGTAGCTCTAAACGGCCCCTAAAGGCGGGATAATTTTAAGGCAACCAATGTTTCCTTGGAATGCCTCGGAATTGTACAAATCGATTATTTTTGCGGCAATGTACTTACGATATCGGTCGTACGGTACTGTTCAACACCCTGCCAGGCCCTGAGTCGACGTGCTGCCGCGGGTGGCGATGGCGACTTCTCGGTGCGCGCCTCCGCGGCCTCCCGCGAAGTGGTTGCGGTGATGAAGGTGGAGGACGGGGCGGTGCTGGAGCTTGCGATGCGGCTGCCCGCCTGCCTGCCGCTCAGGGCACCAGAGGTGGAGTGCCGCCGCAAGGTGGGGCAGCAGTTCTGGGGCGCTGTTCAAACGACCCTTAGGTACGCATGCTTTCATGTAGAGGTGTCCTCACCTTCGGTTGACCTTATTCGTGCGCCCTTCTTGCCATGTTTGTCGCAGGTGGGTGTGAGTGAGACCCGGCTGCGCAAGTGGCTGCTCTCCATCGCCACTTTCCTGCGCCACCAGAATGGTTCCGTAGCGGACGCCATCGAGCTATGGAAGCGCAACGTGGACAGCGAGTTTGCGGGCGTAGAGGCGTGTCTCATCTGCTATTCGGTCATCTCCTCCGTCAACGGCCAGCTGCCGCGCCTGGTCTGCCGTACATGCAATGTGCGCTTCCACCCCGCCTGCCTTTACAAGTGGTTTAAGAGTGCGGGCAAGAGCCAGTGCCCGCATTGTCAGGCGCTGTGGTAGGCTTTGCTACGGGTGGTGGGCTGGTGGCGATGCTTGGATTTTGGGGGTGTTTAGATGGGTGGTGTGATGGGAAGAGTTGGAGGAGCAAGAGCACCATAGAGAAGTACGTTCACTGCGAGTAACTGCTGGAGTGGTCACAGATTTGAGTTAGCGGAATGATCTGTATACTGATGTTAGCGCATGAAGTGCAGTCTTAACACTAACAGTCTTTCTTCTGTGAAAGACTGTTCATTCGGACAAGTCGCCGGGGCAATATTGTAGTGACATCGGAGGCCGACGTCGTACCGGAGCTGGAGCTAGAGTAAGCAGCGTAGGAACGGCTCTAATAGGGGGGGTTCGTGACCGTAAATCCCCCCGTAACGAAGTGAAGGGGAGGATTGGAGGACAAGTCGTCGCTTTTTTCCGTCCGTAACCGTAATCCCCTTGTAACGAAATGAAGGGGAGGATTGGAGGACAAGTCACCGCAATCCTGTCCGTCTGTGACTGTTAGTCCCCCCGTCACGAAGTGGAGGGAGGATTGGAGGACAGTCGGTGACCGTGACCGTGTGTGACCGTAAATCCCCCCGTAACTAGCGTGGAGTGTCGCAGCCGTCTGTGGAGCTCTTGTCTCCTTTGGCACCCTATGCATCTTGGTGGGGGAAGGGGCTGGTTAGGAAGCGGAAGTTACACTGGAGGACAGTAGCTGGTTAGGAAGCAGAAGTTACACTGGAGGACAGTAGCTGAGACCATCGTCAGACGTACATTCTAACAGGGCGTCGACCGCCCTACCCCAGGGGGCACGCCGTGCACAAGGCAGGGAACCATGCCCAACAGATACAGGGACAGGCAACTAGGTCCCAGAGAAACAACACAGAGAGGCTGCCAAACCAGCTCCCGATAGTCCGACATGCAGGCACTGCCAACCCAGCACCGGGAACAGGTGCCGGCAACCAGGGTTAGGAAGCGGAAGTTACACTGGAGGACAGTAGCTGAGACCATCGTCAGACGTACATTCTAACAGGGCGTTGACCGCCCTACCCCAGGGGGCACGCGCCGTGCACAAGGCAGGGAACCGTGCCCAACAGATACAGGGACAGGCAACTAGGTCCCAGAGAAACAACACAGAGAGGCTGCCAAACCAGCTCCCTAAAGTCCGACATGCAGGCACTGCCAACCCAGCACCTGGAACAGGGGCCGGCAACCAGAGTCCCAGAGAAATGCGACACACGGATACTGCCAAACCAGCACCAGAAAGATCGCGGGTTAGCTAACCAGGGTTAGGAAGCGGAAGTTACACTGGAGGACAGTAGCTGAGACCATCGTCAGACGTACATTCTAACAGGGCGTCGACCGCCCTACCCCAGGGGGCACGCCGTGCACAAGGCAGGGAACCATGCCCAACAGATACAGGGACAGGCAACTAGGTCCCAGAGAAACAACACAGAGAGGCTGCCAAACCAGCTCCCGATAGTCCGACATGCAGGCACTGCCAACCCAGCACCGGGAACAGGGGCCGGCAACCAGGGTCCCAGAGAAATGCGACACACAGATGCTGCCAAACCAGCACCAGAGAGATCGCGGCCCGCGACCACAGAAGCCGAAAGGAAACTAACCAGGGTTAGGAAGCGGAAGTTACACTGGAGGACAGTATCTTGGCGACACCAAGGCGCCTGGCACGTGAAACGTGGGTGCGTTGGGAACGGAAGCTGATCATCGATGTTAAGGGCGAAACCGCAATGCGCAAGGATGCAGGAAGACGGAGAGACCGTACTAACTGCAGATTGGACGGAGGAATACGGAGGGACCGCAATTGTGTGAGACGCCGCTGTGTTGTAAACGGGCCGCAGTGACAGAAAACGCATGAAGAAAACGGTGAAGAACATAATCTAATTGTGCGTAGGAAAAGAGGCGATGCCACAAGTGCAAAGCGGTTATACAACCAACTGTAGCCTCAGCCCCCTGACCTCTTTCCCAACATCTGCTACCCAGATCCCTTAGCGGTACCTGTTCATTTCTTAGCAATCCATACTGGGCGAAAGCAAGAGAAGGCAGTGCTAGGTGTCCGGCACATAGGAACGGTCGATGAACTGTAGCCTGCGGCTGTCCTTTGTGACTTGTTTGTGACACGCTACCGCCTCCCATCCCCAACATCGCCAAAAACAACGCCTTTCCCCCCTTTCAGACATAAATTATATACCCATAATGGCTTAGTGCATAATGGCACCTAAGATTTGTAAGACTCCGACAAGTGCGGGGCAGCTTCGTAAAGAACAAGCAGCGCAACCGCTTGCAGCAGCAGCACCTCAGCGCTGCAGTTCGCCTTATGGTGCAGAAGTGGTTTACGGTGTCCAACTTCCCGTACAAGGCCGCGCTGCAGCACTGGCGAGACAGCGCTATGTACCGCTGGGCGGACTCGGGAGGCGCTTAGTGGGGTTGAGGCTCGAGGGGATGGGGCTCGGGGAGTATGCACGGTCGCAGACGCGCAGTGAACACGTGTGGTTGGTGTGATAGTGTATACCGGTATGTGTTTCTTGTGTTGTTGTTACCGAACTGCTGGGCGATGGCAAGTGAATTAACGGAAGAACTTTGAAGAAGCCATTGTGGATGAAGGTGATCTTAGAAGTACAGGCGCTAACTAATCAGGGAAGACAAGTGAACGGCCGCGGCACAGCGCAAGTTTTGCTTCTGAGCTAAGTACTACTTGGAAAGAGAAGTCGTTATCCGATTAAGATTATGTAAGGGGGGGTCCGGGGGCGCAGCCCCCGAAAAAAATATTTGGTGGTTACTAACATAACACCCGAAAAGGCCCAAAGTAACCACTTGGCTCCTAAATAATTACCCAGCCTAAAAAGTTTTAAAAACACTGCCTCCGACTTACCAAAAACCGTAGCCATCCAGTGTCCCCCACTCCCCTCCCCCTCCCCCGGCCCCACTGCTGCCATCCCTGTCTTCCTGTCACACCCCCTCTCACCTCTCTTGTCCCCTTCCGCCCATTCCTGTCCCCATGCGCCCCATGACTTGTCGTATTCCGCATCCCGCACAACTACTAATTTTGACCCTCCCCACTTATTCTTCCTTTCCGTTGCCGCGCCGCCGTGTCCATAGGAAGCCCTACCACACCATCATCGCATGTTTCTCGTTTCCCGTCTCGCCTCCTGACTGTTCCTCACCACCTCATTAACGCGCCCTGCCTCTCTTCCTTCCCTATTTTTCCGCATATTGACCACCTCTTCCTACTGGACACTGGAACCCTGGTGCGGCTCTGTTGGTCTGCGCCTCCACTCCATCGGACCATGGAACATGGCCTTCCCTCTCCAGGTAAGTTTCCCGTAACGCGTCTCGATAAAATGTATGCTCGTATACCCCATATGCGTGTTGCTTTGCTTTTCGTGACCGGCGGCGCGGCGCATGTCTCCCTAGTGTTACCACGCAAGGCGGCTTCTTCCTCAAGTCGTCTCGGTTTCCGGTAAGCAACGATTCGGTAAGTAATATGAGATGCGTGTTATTAGTGCCTCCGAATGCGCTCACTGCATGAGTCGGGATATGGGATTGGGACTTAGTTGTTTGCATTTCTTATATAATTTTCCCCCCTCCCCCGGCCCCCTGCTTTTGTTTTTGTTTAGGTTTAGTCATTTTTGTTTGTTCGTCGGGTGAGGGTTCTGGGATAATTATCAGTAAGGCACCTGCCATGAACTTGGGCGCATTGCGCGCAATGGAAATTACGCTGAAAATGGGCTGGTTGCGCGCAACGGTCCCGCGCAACACGCCCATGTTCCTGGCCTCACAAACCTGCCTCTTTTCAAAACGCAGTATGCATTTATGAAAATAGCGCTGTATTATCTATTCGTAGAGTCCACCGGCGTCACAGAAGATGTTGGAAAAGGTTGCCGATCATGTATGGGTTGGTTGCGCGCAACGGTCCCGCGCGACACGCCCATTTTCCTGGCTTACAAATTCGCCTCGTTTTACACCGCAGAGCATATGTTTGGGCATAATATGGTGTCCTCTTTTTGCAGCGTATAATGGGACATTGGGAAATGTAAGAAACGGTTACAAAGTACACATGGGCTGGTTGCGCGCAATGGTCCCGCGCAGCCTGGCTTTCATAATACGAAGCCGCAGTTTGTAACTTTGATAACGGCACAATGATCTCCCGCAGCAAACCCCAAAGTCTCCCGGTAATTTGTCATAGTTGAGGTGGGATGCTGGGATCATACTTTAGCCCTTATAAAGGATTGTGCGTAAAGATGCCCAAGCTTTACCAATTGCGCAATCCCAGAAATATTGGGATACTACCTCTCGTGAAGGCAGGTAATGAATCGAAGGTCAATGTTTGGTGGTCGAATCCCTGCACCCGGTCTGAACGGCACATCCTGCCCAACCACACTCGCACGGCGCAACCAATCGGGCCCCACGCTTGGCCACATGATACTATATGTCTAAGGAGTCTATAGGTGCGACGGCGGGCTCAGGTGCCGCTCGCACGGTCGGATACGTGCCCCAAACCCTGGGTTTGACTAGGCCCCCAACCCTGCACCCGGTCTGAACGGCACATCCTGCCCAACCACACTCGCACGGCGCAACCAATCGAGCCCCACGCTTGGCCACATGATACTATATGTCTAAGGAGTCTGTAGGTGTGACGGCGGGCTCAGGTGCCGCTCGCACGGTCGGATACGTGCCCCAAACCCTGGGTTTGACTAGGCCCCCAAGCAACCCTGCACCCGGTCTGAACGGCACATCCTGCCCAACCACACTCGCACGGCGCAACCAACCGAGCCCCACGCTTGGCCACATGATACTATATGTCTAAGGAGTCTGTAGGTGTGACGGCGGGCTCAGGTGCCGCTCGCACGGTCGGATACGTGCCCCAAACCCTGGGTTTGACTAGGCCCCCAAGCAACCCTGCACCCGGTCTGAACGGCACATCCTGCCCAACCACACTCGCACGGCGCAACCAATCGAGCCCCACGCTTGGCCACATGATACTATATGTCTAAGGAGTCTGTAGGTGTGACGGCGGGCTCAGGTGCCGCTCGCACGGTCGGATACGTGCCCCAAACCCTGGGTTTGACTAGGCCCCCAAGCAACCCTGCACCCGGTCTGAACGGCACATCCTGCCCAACCACACTCGCACGGCACAACCAATCGGGCCCCACGCTTGGCCACATGATACTATATGTCTAAGGAGTCTATAGGTGCGACGGCGGGCTCAGGTGCCGCTCGCACGGTCGGATACGTGCCCCAAACCCTGGGTTTGACTAGGCCCCCAAGCAACCCTGCACCCGGTCTGAACGGCACATCCTGCCCAACCACACTCGCACGGCGCAACCAATCGGGCCCCACGCTTGGCCACATGATACTATATGTCTAAGGAGTCTATAGGTGCGACGGCGG